ATGTTTTTGTATTTTTTAAGTACTGTACAATCAGAATGATTCAGACATTTTTTTAATAGTTATTAATAGTGCACGCTGCTATATACTCTGTAATCAGTTTGAAAATGATGCAGCACAAAATCAGCTGTTAAAAATATTTGGAAAAAATTATAAGAGTTAATATTTTTAAGATATATACCGTGTATTGTGTACATATGGTATAATATGATAATACAGTCAACTTTCCTGTAACACAGTAGATAGGTTCCGGTTTTTATAAAATCCATTTTCTGCGAGTCCTTTAATACATGAGCCAATCACAGCCAGGCACGTATGCAGTTTTTGGATTACGGCTGTTAGAAAGGTTTTCTTCCATAAAATTTATCGATTCTAAACTAATTTCATTTACCATTTCCATAACACGTATAATTTTTTGGGGAATAATCCATATAATCTATGCTATAAACAAAAATATGTAGAATTACGTACCGAGCGTGCATCGTTCGATGACGCTTGTTTCTGTCATGGGGCTTGTCATGGAATGACGCTCACGTGCTTCCTGATAAATTGTGTTTTTTGCGAAAAATTCGCTTAACTTTAGAAACATAATTAATATAAATAAAATTTTTATAAACGTTAAATAATAAATGGTTATTAGTACGTCCGTTGCTCGTTTAAACTCAACGGTTTGTAAAATATGCACTATTGGTCTAGATTTGACCAGCCCTGTCACTACACGAGTCGGCGATGACGTTTTACCAAATTATACGAGTTTTTAGCGTGTTTGTACGAATACTGTCGCAATTTTTTGCCGTAATATAGGAATCTGAACTATAGGAACTCTTGTTATAGGGGTTTGACTGTAATCAAGGCAACAGAAAAACTGTGTAAGAAGTCATTATTACAATTTTTTGGCATAAAAACATAGTGATATATCTAATTTAGATATTCTGAATCTACAATGACTAAGCCCTCAGCAGATATATCAGCAACGAGTTGTTCAACATTTCCGAAAATTAAAATTCTGGTGGCGCCATCTGTTACCGTATTTTATATAAAAACTGTTTATATTCGAATTAATATAAAATGGTAAAAATCTAAATTTTTAGGAAAAATGAGTTTTATAAAAAATTGTTAATGCTAACAACGACTAAATTTATTATTAAGTTCGAACTACAGTACTAAAGATAAACGACTCAGTTTACTTTTCTGTCTTCCAGCATTACTCACAATAATTTAACAATATCTTCGTCTTTAGCAAACAAACCTGTGTGCAAAAGTTTAGAAAGTTTCGACAAAAGTCACGAGTGTTATGAAGCTTCAAAAAAAGTGATCAAATTAATTCCTGCCACACAGACTAACATTTATACATACAGAATTTATTCTCCTTGCAACTTTTTGCACTTTTTGATATTTCAAGGTGTTTTAAGTCTAAAATCTAAAATGTTTCAGGTGATTATTTCACCAATTGCTATACTTTTTCTGTGTTTTATATAACCACTGAAAAAGAAATTAAAATAAAATCGATAAATTGTAAGCAAAGCTTTTTTTTCAGTTTACAGCAGTATTTATTACACAAAATTTAAGTAAAGCTTAACATGCCGATCTTGCCCCGATCTCCCCTATATTATTTCAAATTGTCATGTACCCGAATATTAAGACAAATGTTTATCAAAAATAAAATTAATTCTAGTATTGATAATAAAACTATTACTCAACAAATTGTTTGTAATCTTAATTTATATAATATCAGAAATTAGACCAAGAATATGTCATGTTTTGGATAAAGTGAACGAAAAATTGATAAAGCTTAAATAAAATAAACTTATTTAATCTATTCATGTAAAAATAGAAAAATTTCAAAAATTATTGGTGTTATATTATTTCGTACAAGTATCGTGTTTTAATTTTCTTGTATATTAAAACATTTAATAATTAATACAGAAACTTTTACTTATTGTTAAAATAAAATTAATTTAATTAAGATTTGTGATCGAAAAATTAATTTTGTGATCTGAAATAATTTCATTCGACAAATTTTTATTTATAATCTTAATTCAATTTTAAAAATTTTAATGTAATTCTTATTTTGTGATTTGTATGGCCCAAATCACAACTACTTATATTTGTTAATTTAAACACGTGTTTGTGAATTACTATCTGCACGTCTTCAAATAATTAAAACAAAGAGTGGCCTTCTGAGTTAAAGAAACGAACAAATACTGTTATAGTTTTACAAACTAACGTTCCCGCTTAAATCTGTTACATGTATTTAACAGAGACTTAGGAAAAAACATTGGTAAATCATAGTCATGGGATCGTGTCTAAGCAACGAGTTTGTCATGAGATGTTATTTGGATTCTTTTCGTGTCTAACACTTAAATAAAAGCAAATTTTTCATTAAAAGTCACGCTGAGTGTTAATGTTATTTTTCAGCAACAAAACAAATTTGTAAAACAGTTAAAATTGAATACAGTAATACCCCGACTTACGCGAACCCAGAGTTACGCGATTTTCAAATCTCGTCGATTCGTCTTTTGTTTGAGCGCCATGCAACCCTTGATTACTCACTCCCCCCACACTATTGTTCAGCTTACATGTTCGGATGTGTCGCGCAGAATCCACACATAGCTACAATTTATTTTGTGTTATTTATTTTTGTGTTTGTTATATTTACGGAGACTCGAGAGACTCTACTATGTCATCCAAACGAAGTAGAACTAATTCTTCTGCATCAAACAAGAAAAGAAAAACTTTATCTTTGGAATGTAAAGTTAACATTGGGTATGTTCGTAAAGTCGAACGAGTTAAACGAGAATGACGTCATCGTTATTCCTATTTCGTTAGACTTTTCGAACGATTCGTTACTAACGCGTTTAACTCGTTTGACTTTACGAACGTACCCATTATTAAAGACTTCGATACAAAAATGAAAATTTGTGAATTGGCAAAGAAGTTTGATCTACCGGAATTGTCGGTCAGAACAATTATAAAAGGCAAAGAAAAAATTCTCGAAGCTGTGAAAAATGCTCAATCTTTAAATTCAAGCATCATTCGTAAACGTCACAGTATTATCGCTGAGATGGAAACAATGTTAAAATTATGGCGTAATAATCAAGTAAATGTGAAAAATTGTAAAATAATATAGGCCTAATTTGTTATACATATGTATTATCTAAGATTTTATTAAACATTTTTTCTAAATTATTGTTTTCTTTAGTCTCCGGCCCCAATTAAAAATTATTTGTATGTATTTATATGCGAAATTATACCCCGACTTACGCGAATTCGACTTACGCGGTTACCGCTCGGTCCCAGCTATCGCGTAAGTTTGGGATATTACTGTATTTATAAAAAAAATTTATACTCACAAATAACTCCAACCTTTAAATCGTGAATAAGAAATAGTTATTGAACACCTGCAAGTTTGTCACTTTAAATCTGAAAGCGAAGTAAAAATAAAAACTAGAATAAATAGATAAACAAATTGTTATATATTGAACAAATTAAAATAAATAAATAAACTAAAAATTTCCTGTTACGGATCAGTAATGAGTTAAAATTTATGAAAACTTTTAATTAAAATTTTAATTGGATATCTCTTTTATGTCAATTGCAATTAACGTAAAAACGAAGTTCATTAGTCGTTGCGTGACGTTATCTAATCATTATTCGAATGTTTAGTATTAATATTATTTTTAAAATAAATGTGATTACTATAAAGTATTATGAACGTTTTATAAACTTTTAAAGATAATTATAACTTTTTTCAAAGTTTTTCAATTACTGGTGAGCATCACCACGTGTTTGTACATATGTAAATACATAGGGAAATTTTTATAGGCTCTTATTTATTAGTTTAATTTGACGTGTTAAGGTAACACAACACAAAGGCGATAAACCAAAGTAAGATGCCATCGAGGAGGAAATTCTATAATAAAGCGGCCTTCACTTACATGTTAGATACAGAAAAAACCCAGTAATTCCATGCAACCAGCATGTCCGTAAGCCATTAATGCCCTCATATTTTTTTGTGCCAAATTAGCTGAATGAAGTTTTCTAAATTTTTTAGTGATTTTAACAGCTAAATAGGAGCCAGTTGTGTGTAGAAACTTTCTAAAAGGTATCTCATAGACAATTTGACTAAGTGTTGCTGCATTACATAGCGACACATAAATGATTTAATAAAGAATCTGACCATATGAGACAGCTCTTGTAAGATATGGAAAGATCAACTTACGTTGTAAATTCTGACAAGTGATGGTGCTTGAACAGCACTATTTATGGGAATCCACAGTATCATTACACTAATTAAAAATGTATTCAATATGTTAGACTAACCCTTAATTACAATTCATATTTCATTAGTTAAACTATTATTGTTTTTAAATCAGTTTTTAAATACTTTTATAATCTTAAATTAGCCTTCCATTCGAATATATGAATGTTGCATAAGTTACTGCCAAGTAAACTGCAAACTATGCTTCGAAATTTGTTAAATAGAACTTACTTCGTACAAGTTTCCTTTGTATTCGGGTTTTTGTTAATCGGTACATGTCGATAATCAATTGAAGTGTTTTGAAATATTTCAAACGTTTAACTTAAATTTCACTAGTTCGTTGTCTTATTTTATTTATATACATTTTAAATATATTATATTTCATACTTGTTGGTGTAACAGATTTATAGTTAATTGTTTTTGGTATTTTTTAGGTTTGACATATTTTTTATAAATTATCGTCTTTTCTCTCTATTGTTATATCTAGATAATTAATACTATTTTGTTTCTATGTTCCTATTTCAAATTTAATATCTTTTTTTATCTCATTAGCTTCATTTATAATTATTTGTTCGTTTGTTTTCCTTGTATCATATATTATAATACAGGCATTTACATACCTGTTATAAAATAAAATGCCTTCTATGTTTTTAATTTTTTTATCTCTTTTATCATATATATTTCAGGCAATCTTGAACCTATGCAAGTACCCATAGATATTCCATCCTTATGGGTATAGAATTTATTTTCGAACTGAAAATAGTTATTTTTAATTATAATTAAACATAATTTAATTATCCAACTAGGTGTTTTAATTTTTAATAATGAATTTTCTATATCTTCTATTGTGATACTAGGATACATATTTACTATATCAAGAGATATTAATTTCATATATTTATTAATTGTAACATTTTTTAATCTTGTTAACAATTTGTTTACATTTTTAATGCTATAATTATACACTTCTAATAGGTTTAATTTATTTTTACGAATTACTTTAGATTATAATATAAATAATTTGTAACATCTATTAATTTTACAGGATTTTTATGTGTTTTCACCCTTATGTTAAATTTTGGTGTTCCATTATCTTTTTTCTTGACGTATTTGATATCTTATTCAGTTATGTGTAGTTTTGTTTTCAAATTTTTTAATTCCTTGTCCAATGATTTTATTAGATCAATCACTGGATCTTTCTTTACTTTTTTAAAATTTCCTTCTTTAATTAATCCTTTGATCACTTCTGTTTTTCTTTTTTCTTCATTATTAGTATTTGTTTCGTTTTGTTGTCACTTTGAAGTTTTTCTAAGTTATTATTATTTTAAAATGTTTTAACATTATTTATTTGTTTTTTATAACTATTAATTTTATTTCTTGTTTTTTTATTTAGTTTTTATTTGTTATTATTTTTTGCATATACTCTCTTATACCTTCTCTTTCTTCTTTTAGAAATTTCCATAGCAAGTGTTCTGTGATCACTGCAAATTCTTCAATTTTCAACATTTCTGGTCCATTGTAGTCCATTCTCAGATTTAGTGTTCTTTGGATTGGTCCTGGGATTTCTACGTTCGTCATATTCAAAATTAATTGTCTTTCATAATTTTCTCTTTCTTTAACAGTCGGATATCCTCTTTTTAACAAATTTATTATATTCATTTAAAAAGTACTCACCAGTAGACTCCTTTCTTGTTTGTCCTCTGTTTCTTTTATTTTTCCTATGTAATTTCTTTAGTTTACAGCCTATACAATGTTTCACACATATTTACTTATGTACAAACTTATGTTGATGTTCACCAGTAAATGAAAAAGTCCAAAAATCGTCATCTTCAAAAGTGTATGAAACTTTGATGGAACTTTATGATAATGGCACTTATTTTAAAAAATAATATTAATCCTAAACATTCGATAGAAAAATTGGATAATATCACGCAACGATTAACGAACTTCGTTTTTATTCTAATTGCAAATGACATAAAAGAGATATCCAATTAAAATTTTAATTAAAAATATTCATAAATTTAACTAATTACTGATCTGTAACAGGAAATTACTTGAATTTATTGTTGTATTAATTATTTATTGTTTATTTATTCATTCTAGTTTTCATTTTTACTTCGCTTTCTGATAGAAGTTAGAAACTTTTTTGTTTTAAAATGGTTTAAAGGTTATAGTTATTCGTATGTATNCTATTGTGATACTAGGATACATATTTACTATATCAAGAGATATTAATTTCATATATTTATTAATTGTAACATTTTTTAATCTTGTTAACAATTTGTTTACATTTTTAATGCTATAATTATACACTTCTAATAGGTTTAATTTATTTTTACGAATTACTTTAGATTATAATATAAATAATTTGTAACATCTATTAATTTTACAGGATTTTTATGTGTTTTCACCCTTATGTTAAATTTTGGTGTTCCATTATCTTTTTTCTTGACGTATTTGATATCTTATTCAGTTATGTGTAGTTTTGTTTTCAAATTTTTTAATTCCTTGTCCAATGATTTTATTAGATCAATCACTGGATCTTTCTTTACTTTTTTAAAATTTCCTTCTTTAATTAATCCTTTGATCACTTCTGTTTTTCTTTTTTCTTCATTATTAGTATTTGTTTCGTTTTGTTGTCACTTTGAAGTTTTTCTAAGTTATTATTATTTTAAAATGTTTTAACATTATTTATTTGTTTTTTATAACTATTAATTTTATTTCTTGTTTTTTTATTTAGTTTTTATTTGTTATTATTTTTTGCATATACTCTCTTATACCTTCTCTTTCTTCTTTTAGAAATTTCCATAGCAAGTGTTCTGTGATCACTGCAAATTCTTCAATTTTCAACATTTCTGGTCCATTGTAGTCCATTCTCAGATTTAGTGTTCTTTGGATTGGTCCTGGGATTTCTACGTTCGTCATATTCAAAATTAATTGTCTTTCATAATTTTCTCTTTCTTTAACAGTCGGATATCCTCTTTTTAACAAATTTATTATATTCATTTAAAAAGTACTCACCAGTAGACTCCTTTCTTGTTTGTCCTCTGTTTCTTTTATTTTTCCTATGTAATTTCTTTAGTTTACAGCCTATACAATGTTTCACACATATTTACTTATGTACAAACTTATGTTGATGTTCACCAGTAAATGAAAAAGTCCAAAAATCGTCATCTTCAAAAGTGTATGAAACTTTGATGGAACTTTATGATAATGGCACTTATTTTAAAAAATAATATTAATCCTAAACATTCGATAGAAAAATTGGATAATATCACGCAACGATTAACGAACTTCGTTTTTATTCTAATTGCAAATGACATAAAAGAGATATCCAATTAAAATTTTAATTAAAAATATTCATAAATTTAACTAATTACTGATCTGTAACAGGAAATTACTTGAATTTATTGTTGTATTAATTATTTATTGTTTATTTATTCATTCTAGTTTTCATTTTTACTTCGCTTTCTGATAGAAGTTAGAAACTTTTTTGTTTTAAAATGGTTTAAAGGTTATAGTTATTCGTATGTATAAAGATTATTTTGTATGAATATTTACGGTAAATTTAACTGTTTTACAAATTTGATTTGTTTGTTAAAAACAGAACAATTGGTAATCTGCTACTGCAATTTACTTTTTACTTAGAACTAGCCTCTATTTATGTCTTAGACACGTAGCCACCAAGCTTTTAAATGTTGTAGGGAAGATTGATAAACTCTTAGCTGGTTTATCTAATGAAGACATGTGCTTGTATTAACATCAGAAACAGTCTCATCAAATTTTATTCAAACTGTTTCCCCGGCAAAATACTTAAAAAATACATTATACACAGATGTTACTTTGCTTTGATTATGTGTATAAATATATAACAGTTATTGCACATTTAAATCCTTTTCAAAATATTGCACCAGAAATTTGAATATTGTCCACAAAAAACTCTTTAGACTCTAGCAAATAAAACTTGGAGAGATTTGTTAGAGCCCTGGCATTTTTAATTTACGATTACATTCATAAAATTGTGTGAAAAAAGCTAATAAAAACACTAATTTTAGGCTTCTTAAATTTTCTATATAGTAGACGACTTAATATAAAATATAACATAGAAAAAGTACATAGTCCAAAATACAGTTTTTATACAGTATTACTAAATAATACAATCACAGATTTTAAGGCTACAGTATGAGTTTATTTAATTTGAAATTGTTGCAGCAGTAATGACTCACTCTCAAAGATCTCGAATTATTGAACGTTCCAGTATTTTCTGAATATTGAATTTTGTTGTGATATCATTGGTAAAAGCTTTAATGTATGTGGACAGCTATTTCTGTTGTTTTTTATACTCACTCCCGTTTCTATTCTTACATTATTGAACCTGTTTGTCGTTTTAAGCACGGAAATCTATACTCAATTAACAGAGATTTGCTTTTGCAAACGCTATTCCTGATACACAAACAATAGCAAATGCTTTGTAATTACTTATAAATAAAAATAATTATACAATAATCCTGTTCTGTTGAATAAAAAAAATACCGGAAATAAGACAATACAACATCGAAATGACATATAAAGAACCGGTTGCTGCCAAGTGAAGTTTTCAAAAAAAACAGATCAGATTTGTGGCTTTAAACTGAAGAAAATCTCTAAAAACTCTGCGTGTTTAAATATTTGCATCGTGATAACCCACTAGAGTTTTTAGTGGTTTTCTAATAAGTGTAACAAATCAGTGGTATTGTACAGATTTTAGAAAATATAATGAAATTTTTAAACAAATGTTTACATTTTGAAAAAGTGTCAGATTAAGCAATCCATGATTAAATCAATAATCACTGCATTGACAAGTTTCAGATTAACAAATTTATTCTGTAATATTATTTATTACATTTAAGACAAAGCTGATAATAAAGTTTCAAATCTAAGCTCATTTAATATTACTGATATACAAATTTTCTAATTGTATTTTAGATTTAAATACAATGAATATTAAATTACTGTACGTGGCATTCGAATATATATGTAACGAGACACTATTCAGTGAATATAAATTCATACCTAAATAACATTAATTAATGAAGCAATTTTTATGAATTAATAAATTAATTTTTGAATATATATTAGTAGTATAGGTTTGATACACTATGGATTACAAATTTCTATGGCAAAATATAATGTATGATATAAGATAGATTACACTTGAAATTTTTGGTTTCATTTTGGAATAATGTTTGATTTACAATCGATAGTTATTTTGTGAAATCTTGTCTAAGACTTAATATATATCTGCAACAACATAGAGTAATAGATTGTCAGTGTTGTTATTTATGTAAAAATGTCTGAGTCACTAACATTTTCAAATGTAACACCAAGAAACAATTTGTCTATAAAATCTTCAAAATGAAATTGATATCTTGAAACTAATTCTCAATCCTATAAATTTTGTAAGTCAGTTAAATGTTGATATTTTAAGACTATCTTATTATGTAATTNCCTTTCTGTGAAATTTGACACTGATGACTTATTGTTTACACAGTCGGATGACCTTGAGAACAACTGGAGTCAGATTTCTTGGGACATTCTCATAGAAGTCTCGAGAGGCAATGGATTTATAGTAGGGTGAATACTAGTTGGCCGTATATTTTTAAATATTTTTAAAAAATTAAAATTTTTATTTTCCATTGTCTCACCTTTCTGTGAAATTTGACACTGATGACTTATTGTTTACACAGTCGGATGACCTTGAGAACAGCTGGAGTCAGATTTCTTGGGACATTCTCATAGAAGTCTCGAGAGGCAATGGATTTATAGTAGGGTGAATACTAGTTNCATAATTTCACTAATGAGAAAAGTCATACATCAATTGTTGACTTAAATTAGAATTTTGACTTATCATTCCTCAGTTTATAAATTGTTTAAAATGACAAATCTGTTTTCGTCTACTGATAAAGAGAAATGTTTTTCCCATCAATTGGCATGGTGTTTGTAAGTCTAAAAAGTAAGCCACACCCATTTATATATATACTTTTAATCGAATATAAAAGAAATGTTTATTTCATTACGAAATTGGTTTACATTGTTTTTATTCAAAAACCAATTTGATCACAATATATTTTAACTATTAAATTTATATACCATTTTTAATGTTAAATGAAAAGGAGTAGATGCTAACATATATTGATGTTTTAAACATTTACTACAACAAAGAATTTCATTGATAGAATAACAATGTTTTTATCATCACCATCAACATTGTTTTAAATTTCACATTTCTCATCACTAATTTCAATTATACTTTCTATGTAACTTTCTTCTCTTATATTATTTTTACTAATATTTTTTGAACATTCCTTGACAGTTTTTAAAAAAGATTTTTTCAGTAGTTTTAAATGGTGTGTTTTTTCAAAAATTACATCTCATTTTTTATTATAAAGTAACCATCTCCTTAGTTATTTATTAACCACTTGCCTTATGAATGTATTTACAGGTATTTTTAATTAAACAAAAAATACTTAAATGAAATGCATTAATTTTGAAAAAAAAGATTCAAAGTTTAACTTCCTTTGTCTTACCTTTCTGTGAAATTTTACACTGATGAGTCATTGTTTACACAGCTGGATGACCTTGAGAACATCTGGTGTGAGATTTCCCCGAACATTCTCATAGGCCTCCCAAGAGGACAATGATTTAAAGTAGGGTGAATACTAGCTAGACCTATATATTTAAATATTTTTAAAAAATTAAAATTTTTTTTGCGATTTCCGACCCCTGGTTTAACTATACTTATATATAATAAAATATATTAATTTAAAAAATTTAAAAACTATTGAAGGTTGTTTTTGACATCAGAAAGTTGCTTTAAATAACTTTACCAAAGTCAAATCTGTGCACTACAACTTTAGAACGATAAATAAAATTTGATAAAAAAAATCGCATTAAAAAACAAGTAAGCGTTAATCGCGCATCATTAAAGGTTGACTAAAATCGCGATATTTTTGTGCAGGTAAAAATTTTTGAAAAAATTTCGAGACTTAAAATACATTCCAAAAATAAAAAAAAATTTCAAAAGTGGCATTAACTCCTTAAGCCTCAAGCAATTATTTCATATTAATATAATTAAACATATCAAAATAAGAAATACTTAAAACTGAAAAAAACGAAAAAAATGCGTTAATTTTGAAGAAAAAGCTTGAAATTTTATTTTCCATTGTCTCACCTTTCTGTGAAATTTGACACTGATGACTTATTGTTTACACAGTCGGATGACCTTGAGAACAACTGGAGTCAGATTTCTTGGGACATTCTCATAGAAGTCTCGAGAGGCAATGGATTTATAGTAGGGTGAATACTAGTTGGCCGTATATTTTTAAATATTTTTAAAAAATTAACATTTTTAAAGTCGTTTTTGATATCAGAAAGTAGCTTTAAATAACTTTACCAAAGTAAAATCCGTGCACTAAAACTTTAGAACGATTAATTAAATTTGATTAAAAAATCCCATTAAAAACAATTAAGCGTTAATCGCGCGTCATAAAAGTTCATTAAAATCGCGATAAAATTTCTTTGCCCGGGTAAATTTGGAGACCTAAAAAGCATTCCAGAAATTCAAAAAAAATTGTCAAAAATACTGGCCTTAACGACCGATCTTTTCGTAACGTTATGTAAACTTGACGAGTTAACTCGTCAATGGGCGTTAAGGTCGTATATTGTTATAAACACAAGCTTAAACAATGTTTATTTAGATAATTAAATAGTGCATACTCAGTACCGTGTAGCATTGCCGAGTTACAGACAATAGATCGTGATTATAAGTTGGAAGGTGACATATAGTTAGAGTAATCGCACATTTATGGGTTTGAATACAGTAAGTTACCATAAATTACAAAATGATGGTAGTTAGTACAATGGGTACAATATACTGTATTACAAATTACAAAAATGGCATATAAGAATACAATAAAGTATGTACATAAAATTAAATATAAGAGGTAATATAAGTAAACAAATTATTATGCAAAAAAATTATAACTATAATGTTATAAAATATCAAATAATACAATATACATTAGAAATATATAGAAAATAAACATATATACAAGTCGAAAGCAGCAACAGCTGCGGGTACAAGACGATGACAAACAATGAGCGATAACAGTGGTAATTGCAGTAATAAAAGTACAGTTAATTGTTGAACATACTAGCAGAGATGGCTCTGTGTTTTTTGGTTAAAAGTTTAAAAACAAAGCAAAATACGTTGTTTTGAAAAAAAAAATTGTGTTGACACGCCATAGAATATTGTTTTTGGATGCAATCAGTCTGACATTATTAAATTTTTTCTATAGGCAGACGCAATTGAGTAGGTAGTGATCAGAATGTCTTCTACATCACAAATAGCACAGTTGAGGTAGTTTTCTTTGTGAATCTTTTAAAATAGCTAAAAAATTTTCCATGGTCTGTGAAAAACTGTGTGAGATGTAATGTGGGCATGATGCAATTATAAGTAAGATATCATTTTATGTAGGATTAACTTGAAGGTAGTGGTATCATGTTTCTCATTCCAATTGAGTTTCCAAGTGTGAAGATGTTCTTTGTAAAGCATCCTTGTATCAGTAACATAAGTAATTTTGTCATAGATAATGAAAAATATATTATCTATAGCAGCAGCCTTAGCCAAATAATCAGTTTTATCATTCTTAGCTATGCCCTGATGGCACTGTCCAGGTGATATGGTAGGTGTTTGTAGAATTAACGATATGGTTTCTTATGTTTGTTGTTATTGTATGTTGATTTCTGCCATTGATAAGTGAAATGACTGAGAGACAGTTTGTTACAATGTTGTTAGTTGCGTGATTGCGATGTGATATTCTCCAATTAAAGGCGCTTTCAATAGACACAAGTACTGCGTGGAAGACAGTACAGTGTACAGTCATCTTAAACTGTTTGTTGTGTATTTCGTGATCATCGGGGTTGGGAGGTGGGTCAGTACTCATGTGGTTATTATAAGAATACACATTTCTGACAAATTTTAAACTAACTGAAAGTCAGTTATTGTAACTTGAAGTAATTTGTAAGAAGTTGTAGATTGATGTTTTAATATATCTATATATATAAAATTGCTTGTCCTGAGTGACTGACTGACTGAGTGAATGACTCACTGATTCGTCATCGCCCAGAGCAAACCGCTTGACTTAGAGAGGTGAAATTTCGTACACTGTTAGGGTACGTCATAAAAACGCACACTAAGAAGCGATTTTTCGAAATTCTCAAGTGGGGGAGAGGGAGGCATTAAGTGTTAACCAGAAAAAAGGCTTTTACTGTACTATTTTAGATGCGATTTTTTGTTTTCAACTACGTTTAGTCGTCATTGAGTACTTAGGTGCATTAAATTGATAACATTTCAGACACTGTTATAAATATTTTTATCTATTTCGATTTTAAACATGTTCGAACCGATTTAAATTCGAATTTGTTATTGCATATTGGTTCGATTATAGAACGATTGTAAACGTTCCAGAAAATTGATCAAATTGAAAATAGTTCGTTTGATTCTCGGCAATTCTCTTCAGCGATAGGTGTTATATAACAACTACTATGGTTTTTGAAATATTGAATGTAAATGGGGTTTGCTTGCAAAACCTCCGCGGACGAAATCGCGGGTAACAGCTAGTATGTGATATAAATGCTGTTATTAATAGCATGGATTTTTCAAAATGTTTTTGTAAATAGAAGAGATATTGGTGACACTGTGTTAAATTTAACAATATTTGTAATAATTAGCAGCTTTTATAAGTAATATTGGACACCTCTATCAGCGTGCATTAAACTTTTTTTTCAAGATTACGCATAAAATTAACTTCTAAATAAGAAGTTAATTAAAAATTCTAAAATTATCTACATTACCTGAACTTTTAAATATGAGGAAATATTAATTAACAATATTGAACGGCCTCAGTATGCATTTTTTCTTCGAATCTCTCTTATGTTTCTATATATAACGTGCCTATAATCAAGAAAAAAAACTTGTTTGGTAGACGGTCTCACAACATTTTTGGTTAAAAAATTATGACTGTATTTATCAAATTGAAATCATATTATACACTAGATAATATAAATACATTTCGGGTTAATATAAGTTTACAGCCCCTCTTCAGTGCCGATCGAAAAAACGACATTATGATTAGGAACACGACATTACTCAAGTATGGATAAAAAATATTTTACACAAAAAACACATATTAAAAATTCTATTTCTAAATTTATATTTTTCACAAAATACATAACAATCCACCATATTATACGAAAAATATAAATCGTTGTGGTTTAAAACTAAAAATTCCATAAAATTTTATGGTATAAAACATTAATTTCCATTTAAAAATTTCCTAAACGTAATTTACATAAAACTAAAATTGATTTAAAACAATTTGCATATAAAAAGAATTACTTTCGAGTTAATAAAAAAGGGTTGACAACATCAGTATGGGTGAAAGAAAGGGCCAGATTAGCAGAGTTAGTTATGAAAAATATCAACGAAAAAATAAATAATAACCTCGGTATAGAACTATTAATGAAATGTACTGATGATTATTTACTAATATACAATAATAAAATAATAGATTGAAAAATTATCATTAATATCATACACAATATCAAAGAGAATATTCAGTCTGATATAGAAGAGGAAAAAATGGACAAATTAATTACTTAGATTTGACTATAATAAACAACCTTGATAAATTTACTTTCACGACATACAAAAAATCTTTGTAAAGTAAAAACCATTTTAAAAAATCAAGTTTTTTTGGATTAAAGGGACGTTACATATAGAAATTAAATAAACGGCGAACATATCACATTAACACTTTTATCTTGTTTACTAGAATTTCTGTAAGAAATACCACAATGGAGATCAAGCACCCTGCAGCTAATAAATACAGTAGACCCATAATGTCATCGATTTTCAGAGGTTCTTCATCGTTAGTATCAATTGCCTTATCATTGTAGAGGTTGCTTTTTCTTTTTTCATCAAGCATATCTGTATAAATTTTCTGAGATAATCCACTTTGTTCAATAACATTTACCCTATAAAATATAAATATATATCATTAAACTTATGTATAAATTAAGAAAATTACATCACTAATATAATATATTAGGCAATTCAGTTACTTAGATTAGTTTAGTATGAAAATAAAAACTGCTTGTTAGTTTCTATTTACAAAAAAATAGTTTATGATGTTAGCAAAAATTAAAAAAACAAAAGAGGGACAAGTGGCCTGAACCACTAGGCTAGCGCGTATAAAAGAAAGTTAACTGAACAACCGAACTTGGCGAATACAAATGTACATGACAATTTACAACGAACAAAACATAATATAACAACATAAACCCCAGCTTGGGAGGACCCTGAAGACCTGGTATTAGTTATACTGGTTCAGGGGAACAGAAGAGGGACAAGTGCCTGAACCACTAGGCTAGCACATATAAAAGAAAGAAAGTTTACCGAACAACCTTGCCAGGCTATCTAGGCTGGTTGCATTGCTGAGGCAGGTTGCGATGAGCACAAACACAAAGGTAAAATATTTGCCGGCTAGTCTGTTGTCACTGGAGAAGGGAGCCCATCTTGGCTTGCGGTGGTCCCTGAGTTAAAGTTGGGAAAGTTTTCCCTGTTTTGAGAATAAATGTCTTGAAGGCAGTTGTTGTAATGTTGTTTGTAAGGAAGTCCTGACTTCGACAGGGCCAGTGGAACCCCTGAGAATACATTACATGCTCGAGCTGCTTGCGATGAGTGACGTGTTTAACACAGGTGAACAAAATGTGTTATGGAGTTTCATCTTTTTTCTGGCATTCACAAATACTGGTCCCTTTGTGTAAGAACCTGTTTAGATATTGTTTGAAGCCACCATGACCAGTAATGTACTGGGTAATAATATGAAAATCAGGATTGAAGTGGCTCAAGTTATTCCTAACTTTGACGTTCGGGAAAAAGTTAAAGGTCACTTTGCCTGTCGTCTCCGTGGCCCACCTCTCTTGCCATCTGTTGATTGTGAATTCTTTGAGCTGGTTCTTTACCCAGTTATAGAGAACAAGCGAGAAGGTTGGACCTTTAAATTACTTATAGCTTTCTTCGTCAGAAAGTCTGCTTTGTTGTTACCTATTTCTCCAGAATGCCCTTTTGTCCAATGAAAGTTTACTTTGATGTGATTACTTTTCAGATTAGACACCATATGAATGATATCTTTTATTAGCTTGAATTTAGTGTTCATTACTTTTATTTGGTGAAGAGCCACCCTGCTATCGCTAATAATTGTTACTTCTTTTCTGGTCCTGTTATTTATCGTCCTCTGAATATGCTCCAGGGATTTGAGGATGGCCAGACTCTCTGCCTGATTTATCGTACAGAAGGGGCCTAGTTGTTAATAGGCTTGATGAACCACCCTATTATAACAATCTATTTCTACAACAGCTGCATCCACCCCNCGAACAACCGAACTTGGCGAATACAAATGTACATGACAATTTACAACGAACAAAACATAATATAACAACATAAACCCCAGCTTGGGAGGACCCTGAAGACCTGGTATTAGTTATACTGGTTCAGGGGAACAGAAGAGGGACAAGTGCCTGAACCACTAGGCTAGCACATATAAAAGAAAGAAAGTTTACCGAACAACCTTGCCAGGCTATCTAGGCTAGTTGCATTGCTGACGCAGGTTGCGATGAGCACAAACACAAAGGTAAAATATTTGCCGGCTAGTCTGTTGTCACTGGAGAAGGGAGCCCATCTTGGCTTGCGGTGGTCCCTGAGTTAAAGTTGGGAAAGTTTTCCCTGTTTTGAGAATAAATGTCTTGAAGGCAGTTGTTGTAATGTTGTTTGTAAGGAAGTCCTGACTTCGACAGGGCCAGTGGAACCCCTGAGAATACATTACATGCTCGAGCTGCTTGCGATGAGTGACGTGTTTAACACAGGTGAACAAAATGTGTTATGGAGTTTCATCTTTTTTCTGGCATTCACAAATACTGGTCCCTTTGTGTAAGAACCTGTTTAGATATTGTTTGAAGCCACCATGACCAGTAATGTACTGGGTAATAATATGAAAATCAGGATTGAAGTGGCTCAAGTTATTCCTAACTTTGACGTTCGGGAAAAAGTTAAAGGTCACTCTGCCTGTCTTCTCCGTGGCCCACCTCTCTTGCCACCTGTTGATTGTGAATTCCTTGAGCTAGTTCTTTACCCAGTTATAGGGAACAAGCGAGAAGGTTGGACCATTTAAATGACTTATAGCTTTCTTCGTCAGAAAGTCTGCTTTGTCGTTACCTATTTCTCCAGAATGCCCTTTTGTCCAATGAAAGTTTACTTTGATGTGATTACTTTTCAGATTAGACACCATGTGAATAATATCTTTTATTAGCTTGAATTTAGTGTTCATTACTTTTATTTGGTGAAGAGCCACCCTGCTATCGCTAATAATTGTTATTTCTTTTTTGGTCCTGTTATTTATCGTCCTCTGAATATGCTCCAGGGATTTCAGGATGGCCAGACTCTCTGCCTGATTTATCGTACAGAAGGGGCCTAGTTATTAATAGGCTTGATGAACCACCCTATTATAACAATCTATTTCTACAACAGCTGCATCCACCTCCATTGGGCCTTTTGACCAATCTGTGTAAAACTTTGTAGCTATGTTCTTGTTTTCATCTGCGCAAAGTACCACATCTGGAGGATCAGTGGCTAGGTGCATCAGGTAGTAGTAGCTGAATCTATCAGATCCATGACTGTGGATTTTGACTGCAATGTCTTTCACTTGGATAGGGGTGGTCTTAGATATGGCCAGCTGATCAGAGAAATGCCTAAGTTGAAATCCCAATACCTTTCCGAAGCTTTAAGTTCGAGGGGGACAGAATTTGCAGTCACCTGCAGTCTGCTAGTCGGGGCCGTGCGATAGGCCCTGCACACCGTGATGAGACAGCTTCGTTGAATGGCGAGTAATTTCCTGCTAATTTGTTGTTTTCTTGTTGCATACCCCCAAATCTCAGCCCCATACAGGACTGCTGGTTCTATTGCACAGTGGTAAATGAGTTAATAGCTTTGGTAACTCAGACCCCAAAGGTTACTGCTAATGGATCTCAGTGCATGAGCCATAATGATGGCTTTTCGTTTTGTGTTCTATGTGCAACGTCCAATTCATTAGACCAGTGGTGCGCAAACTAGGGGTCGCGACCCCTGTGGGGGTCGCCAAATATTTATGAAATGCATTATGCCTGCATGCTGCATACCATACAGTGTACATATAAAGAGTGAAGCGCCGTCACGCACTGTTTAATTGCAATTTCATGCAAAAGATTCAAGGATTTTCCTGAAAACGATCTTGGTTGGATTCGTGATCCATTTTCCTACGACATATGCAGTTCAACTCTTCAAATTAGTGAGAAAGAGCAATTGATAGATTTAATTAGTGATTATACTCTTCGAAATCAATTNTTGAATGGCGAGTAATTTCCTGCTAATTTGTTGTTTTCTTGTTGCATACCCCCAAATCTCAGCCCCATACAGGACTGCTGGTTCTATTGCACAGTGGTAAATGAGTTAAGCGCTTTGGTAACTCAGACCCCAAAGGTTACTGCTAATGGATCTTAGTGCATGAGCCATAATGATGGCTTTTCGTTTTATGTGTTCTATGTGCAACGTCAAATTCATTAGACCAGTGATGCGCAAACTAGGGGTCGCGACCCCTGTGGGGGTCGCCAAATATTTATGAAATGCATTATGCCTGCATGCTGCATACCATACAGTGTACATATAAAGAGTGAAGCGCCGTCACGCACTGTTTAATTGCAATTTCATGCAAAAGATTCAAGGATTTTCCTGAAAACGATCTTGGTTGGATTCGTGATCCATTTTCCTACGACATATGCAGTTCAACTTTTCAAATTAGTGAGAAAGAGCAATTGATAGATTCAATTAGTGATTATACTCTTCGAAATCAATTTAAGACTCAGCATTGCCAAAAATTTTGGCTATCCGTGGAAAAGCAATATCCCGTTTTATGCAAGAATGCCATCAGGGTTTTAATACAATTTGCATCAACGTATTTATGTGAAACTGGATTTAGCAAACTAGTTTCAATAAAAACTAAATACCGCTCGCGTTTAAACCTTGAAGATGATATGCGAATTGCAATTAGCAACTTACATCCAAACATCGATGAGATAATTAGAAACTTGCATCCACATACATCTCATTTAAGGGAAATTTACTGATTTATATGTTGTACAAAAAGTATTTTCTTAAAATTATAAATAAAATTAATATGAGTCAGATATGATGATGTTTTTATTCGATGAAACGAAAGAAATGCGCGAAATATACATTGTATTTGTGAACATTTATCTCTAGGGGTAACCAAAAATTTTCTCTCTAAAAAAGGGGTTGCAATCGAAAAAAGTTTGCGCACCATGGCATTAGACAATCTACTTGAAGCCCTAAGTAACTTATTTTATCGGTGCATTTAATCTTTTCATCCTGTATTGTAATCCTTGGCTTATTGTAGAGTGGGTTCACTCTCGGGTACACTGCACATTGGCATTTTTTAGTATTAATGATAAGTTTATTGTCAATAGTCCAGTCTTGTATCATCTGAAGGAACTGGTTCATCTCTTTTTGAAGAACCTCCTGGTTCCTATGGGACAACAGTACGAGGGTGTCATTGGCAAACCCTATTATCTTAAATCTCAAATTTCCATGTGTCTTGTCTAAACATAATTAGACTGGTAAACGTTATGAAACTCGTATTGATCACACTTTCGAACTGCATGACACATTTAGGACCTTTCTCCACGGTCAGTGCCATTTACAGTTGAAATCGTTCTGTCATCTAGTGAAGAAAAATAAAATAAATACCATATATTACCAGATACATTAAGCTAATGCGCTAAAAACATAAGGGAGTTAGCTTATTGGAAGCTCTATAGTCGATTTATTCCACAGACAGACGGTAACTAACAATGTTCAATGGCATTTCCTACTGAAAAATTATGAGTGATCAGTAACACATTTTTCATACTTACGTTTTAGCGACTTCGACAGCATAATTCACTCTAACCAAATTGATTTGTATGAACTGGAATTTTGTAAAAAGTATGTCTTCTGAAACGAAGACCTTTTCTTTTTCCCATTTGGTCAGGCTTAATTCAATTTTTTCTCTTGTTGCTAGTAGGGCGTGAGTTCCATTAAGCAGTTTTGGAATTGGTTCTTCACCTGGCTCATTACATTTTTCAACGTTTTCATAGAAGATTTCGATTACATCATTTTTAATTATATTTTTCCTGGACCAGAGCTACACAAATATATAAATAAATAAAATTCACGTAAATAAAATTACACACACAGATTTAACATTTTTGTAGAAAAAGCAACTTACGATCGCAACGTAATAATGTTCAAATTATTATGTAAAAACATACTTAATTACAATTATTTTCAAGATATTATGTTAATCTGAAATGTGAACTAACTGTAACCGGTATTTTGCACAGTTTTGTAACTGTGGAATCAGCTTGGATATTTACAATGGCTACTCTCATAAATACAAAATAAAAACAATAATTTTGTGCTTCGGGGTAAATTAAGGGATACGGCCTTATATGTAGCTTTTAATTTATGTACGATGTTTATTGACATAATGATGTCAGATTAGCCGAGAATGCAATCTGTAGAAAGTATACCACTTACACGACTTAGAATCGCGAGATTCGATGACTAAACTTTTTCTAGGAGGGCTGTTAATTATGTCGGAAAAATCTGGACTGTAAACTCTAGGTTTACGTAAGGATTCCTTGACACCAGTTAATCAAATTTAAATACGCGGATTAACACTCGTTTGATTCGTGGAGGAAATAAGTTTTATTCAGATACTTAAGAGACATACTTATAACAAATAAAAGAAAAAATTTTAATGAAACAAATGAGCGGAATCTATAAAAAACAGAGTAACTGAAATGAACGTTTCGAGAGAGAGCGCTCCCAATTTCTATTGTAATCATACTACCTGTGGAGACTTTTTGTCTTCCTCTGTTTTTTGATGATGGACTTCAGTCTTTTCTTCAGGAGGTCTTGACTGGCACATATTAAAATATTTTCTGCTCTATTTCTCTCTAACCTTAACTCATTTAAAAATCTACTGGATACGACTATGGGCGTTGGCCTTCGGGAAATAATATGGAATACGTCTGTATTCTAGGAGATCTTCTGGCGTACTCCTCGAATCATTATAAATTCTTTTTATTTCTCACGACTGTTTTCCAATCAGCCTTATAAATTCACGTGAACAGAGGAAATGGGGATGCATCGAAGGGTTAATAATTCCCAGGGTGCTGAGTATTGTAGTAGATAAGGGTAAAACAAAAAGATGTATCAAATTCCGTTGCAGGACGTGACTTTTTATCAGTTTCCCTCGTTTAGAAAACTATAAATTTTTCACCAAAATTAAAGAATATTTTCTGCTAAAAATTTAACTTTATAATTAAATTATAAATTAGTCACAGGGACAATTCAGATCTCATAATAAAAATATATCTCAAATATTTTTTATTTATTCCATTTATTTCCTGATATCCATTTATTAGTAAATATGTTTAAATCAAATCTGCGAACCAGAAAATTAATGCGGAAAGAACAGTGATTATGACTTATGGTTAGATTCATAATTATCAATTACCTATTTTTACATCGATTCTTATCTAATTAATTACCTATTTTTAAGCACAGTTTTTGATACCGAACTTATTTTTAAAAATTATGTTGATGTGCTTGCTAAAAATCTGGTTATCAGAAATGAAATTTTAAGGCATTTTTGTAAGCCAGCTTTAATAACAAAAATACCAGTACGGTCCATTATTATGCTGAATTTTAATATTTCATTGATTGTCGATTGGCCATCTAATCAATGGGTGAACCTTTTCTTATACTCAAAATTACTTCTGATCTTAATAAGATATATCTTAGGTTTAACAAAATATGTAACATGCCTGTCATTCATGATTTAATATTGCTAAAATTCATCTGGTCAGAAGCAAATTTAGGGGGCGTTGAGGATCGACCGCCGCCTACCTGGGCAGTACATGGATGAATGCGAAAAAAAGGACGGCTTATCTCGTCAATGGGCGTTAAGAGCGATTATTATTTATAGCCGTCGACAGCGGGATAAACGACCAATCAGCGATTACCGGCCATAGCAATACGCGTATATGCAATATGTTACGATTCTTAACCAATCACAGATTTGCTCGTATGTTTCAGGTCCATTGGTGGTGTGATGATCAGCCTACAAATCAGTTTTTACATATTTAAAATCCAACGGTAGCTTCCTCAACCGTCTTTTTGAAACGGCCACCGTTACCAGTTCAAAAAAAGCGGGAATCGTGTTCTTAAACGATCCTACCCCCAACAGTATTAATGTAAAAAAACAGTGATTACTCTTTATTTATTCGCGAATTCTAAACCTAAATTCACAACAACTTACATTTATCATTTAGTTTTGAATAATTTTGTACTTTAAATACATAAGTATAACCATTTTTAACAAAAATGCTACATACCTTTGAAATACATCGATCAAAATAACGACATTCATCGCTCCTTTTGAAGAAAGTGATGTTGTATCGTCCTGCTTTCACTGACTGAATCAATTCTTGAAATGTCTGAGGAATGGATTCAGTTCCAGGATTAACCATGAAAGACGGCAATGTGCCGACGTATGCCGATGTCAAAACAAATGCGATTAGGATCCAGCAGCCAATTAAGATACGAAACGTCATGAGAAAATAAAGATCTACATTTGTATCTGCAGAATAAAAATAGTGGAAAAGAGAAATTTATAGTTAAAAATTTACGAGAAGAATGAAAACACTTTAGATTAAGCAATTATCAATTTTTCATTAAATTATAATACTGTATATTTCTATGTGTAATATGTAAGCAAGCACAAAACGATCTCAAAGGGAAAAATGTCAAATGTACTGAAATAATCTTTTCGTTCGTAAATACAAGTGAACGATTTTGTAAATTACTTTTCAAAATTAAGAAAACTAAACGAAAACCTTTAAACGAACACATTTAAACATACTTCTGACTGTAATTATCATTATCTGATATAAAAATACATACATTATAATTAATTACTGAAAAAAATCATATCATTTTACTCATACACTTTATTTCCTAACTATATTCGTTATATGAAAACTTGTCATGCACAATGTAATAATACCCACCTTGTCGAAAAAAGTTTCTGAATAAAATGGAAAATAACATGGAAAATGTTGGCATTTCTTTCTTTCTATACTCAGTTTCTTTCTTCATTATCGCATATGAAATTAACAAAGTGATAAAGAAAGAAAAAGGAATAGACATCCAAATCTGAAATATAAAATTTTCATAATTATTATTTTTCAAAATCAATATTTTTAAAAACACTTAAAGTTGGTCGTTATTGCAGGTTTTATTATTTTTATCAAAAAGTGATCAAACTTGCAATACCGACCATCTGTAAATTGCAACGATTTGTTTACAAGAGTTTTCCTCTATAAAAAATAACATTAAAAAAACCACTTCATACAAAGTTTCAATGTTGCTTTAAGTGGCCGTTGTTGTATATTACTTTTTAAAAGTTTTAAAATTATTAAAAATAAATCGTAAGCATCTTTCGCTGTGGTTAAGATATTTAAATTTTTGATTTTTTTGTGCTTTGTAATTGTGTTCGGGTATGTGCTTTGTCATCGTTCTGACTGCGTGGTTATTCAGGTTTTCTTTTCATATATAACACGTTAATTAATATGGAGCGATTTAGATATTTTTGTATTAAATAAATAAATAACGTTTTTTCTAGAGGAATATTACTGTTTTCGCAAGTTAGGACGCGATAAACTTTCTTATCCTAAGTGGTGCAAAATTCTTTAAGAAGATGGCGATCTTGCGAACACTAGTCTTTTTAACATAAAATCTTAACCTTCCACACAGTGAGCGGGGATCTCAAGACCACGTTCTTACAGATTGCATAATCGTTGCATTGCGTTATACTACTAATCAGTTCTACTAATATGTTAGAAATATTCAATTCGTATGGTGAAAATATCATAGAGAAAATAATAATTTTTGAACCCTTACCATTACGTCGAATGGTTTCACCAAGGAAACAGCTTTATCTAAAGGTCTTGCAGCATGTATTGCAAATGTAGTTGGATTGTGATTTACAGAAGAAGTGTAAGACACGTAAGTTTCTCTAATATTGCCACCAAAGATGGCGATGTCTGCCTAATGAATAAAATTAAATTATTAAAATATTTATTACAACTGTACAATTGCTATATATAAATTTGTTACCGCATATTCGGAATATGTGATCGACAGCCTGAAACGAAACAAGTAATATGAATTTAACACATCTAATGTGACTTACGTATACTGTATAAAAAACTTACTCAGTATGAAGAGCATCTGCTAACAGGTCAATATATCTTGATGTAAACGATTTAACTTTGTTGTTGAGATTTTCCTTAAAAATTATGATTATCATGACTTTAAAATATTATTTTTGCTAAATTAATAGTTCAAATTTCTCTGTAAATGGTTAACAGTTTAACGCAAGAAGTAAGTTAACACTAGTTGCAGACATACGAATTCAAATAAAGTTGAAAGTACAGGTCTCTAACAATTTTATCTCTACTGTACATAAAAAAAATCTGTTAATACATTTATGCCAAAAATGATTTCGAATGGATTACACAAATACAATATTTTTGTAAAATCGATCATTGCTGGTGATATTATACTCTATAGAAAACCAATACAACATCAAATTTTTTGGCACCATATTGTCAAGAAAACGTTCTCCATTATGTTGTATGTGGAAGATTACTTTGCATTTGTAATATGAATTTTTTTTTGTGTATTAATAAACTTTTTACTGTCGAAAAATAAGCAATCTGCTACTAATTGTATTGTGAAAAACATTAATGAAATAAACACTATTAATATTAAATTAATTATTATATTATAAATATTTTTCTGGTGTTTAACCAAACAACATCTGTTTCTGTTAAATTCAAACATACGAAATGTGAATGTGTTTTACATCAGATACTTCGTAAGAAGTTGAAATTGCATCTCTGTATATAATTATATTATCTTATCTAGTAGTAAGTACAGTAGTTACTCTTAGTGATAGAACAACCTCATGCAGCTTGACACACACTAACATCCTCAAGGATACAAAAACAAATCTCAAATATTGTTTAATTTTTCAATGTTTTAACATACCGTAAGTAGAAAGCAAATTATCTGGACAGGATAAATTTATAAAAGTTGTCCTAGTTATCTGTTACATATAATAGCCAGAAACATGAAAAAACAATTGTGTTTTTCGATGAAATGAACCTTTTTAATTTCACAATAAAAACTGGGAAGTTTTGAGACTTGGCGCGATAAAGTGTTAATAGCTGGTTCAAATATCGTAAAAAACGGCATACGAAAATGTACATTAATAATAAGAAAAAAATTTAATCACAAATTAAAATTTAAATTATTACTAAGGATCAGATGCATTGCTTGCAATTTGCTTATTTCAGCTTAATCTACAAAATATGAAACAAAGGATAAGTTAGAAAAGTTTATACGAAATTCGAATAACATAGAACCACACAATAAATAGTCGTGTGTAGGAGTAAAAGGGTTTTTCATATTTGTGTTCTGCTTTTCAGTAACACACGAACAAAAAAGAATAGTTATCTGTAAAAGTATTTACTTTCAGATCAGCAAGAGATTTTCCGAATTTATTAAGTNCCACCTTGTCGAAAAAAGTTTCTGAATAAAATGGAAAATAACATGGAAAATGTTGGCATTTCTTTCTTTCTATACTCAGTTTCTTTCTTCATTATCGCATATGAAATTAACAAAGTGATAAAGAAAGAAAAAGGAATAGACATCCAAATCTGAAATATAAAATTTTCATAATTATTATTTTTCAAAATCAATATTTTTAAAAACACTTAAAGTTGGTCGTTATTGCAGGTTTTATTATTTTTATCAAAAAGTGATCAAACTTGCAATACCGACCATCTGTAAATTGCAACGATTTGTTTACAAGAGTTTTCCTCTATAAAAAATAACATTAAAAAAACCACTTCATACAAAGTTTCAATGTTGCTTTAAGTGGCCGTTGTTGTATATTACTTTTTAAAAGTTTTAAAATTATTAAAAATAAATCGTAAGCATCTTTCGCTGTGGTTAAGATATTTAAATTTTTGATTTTTTTGTGCTTTGTCATCGTTCTGACCGCGTGGTTTTTCAGGTTTTCTTTCCATATATAACACGTTAATTAATATGGAGCGATTTCTATATTTTTGTATTAAATAAATAAATAACGTTTTTTCTAGAGGGATATTACTGTTTTCGCAAATTAGGACGCGATAAACTTTCTTATCCTAAGTGGTGCAAAATTCTTTAAGAAGATGGCGATCTTGCGAACACTAGTCTTTTTAACATAAAATCTTAACCTTCCACACAGTGAGCGGGGATCTCAAGACCACGTTCTTACAGATTGCATATACGTTGCATTGNTTAGGACGCGATAAACTTTCTTATCCTAAGTGGTGCAAAATTCTTTAAGAAGATGGCGATCTTGCGAACACTAGTCTTTTTAACATAAAATCTTAACCTTCCACACAGTGAGCGGGGATCTCAAGACCACGTTCTTACAGATTGCATAATCGTTGCATTGCGTTATACTACTAATCAGTTCTACTAATATGTTAGAAATATTCAATTCGTATGGTGAAAATATCATAGAGAAAATAATAATTTTTGAACCCTTACCATTACGTCGAATGGTTTCACCAAGGAAACAGCTTTATCTAAAGGTCTTGCAGCATGTATTGCAAATGTAGTTGGAATGTGATTTACAGAAGAAGTGTAAGACACGTAAGTTTCTCTAATATTGCCACCAAAAATGGCGATGTCTGCCTAATGAATAAAATTAAATTATTAAAATATTTATTACAACTGTACAATTGCTATATATAAATTTGTTACCGCATATTCGGAATATGTGATCGACAGCCTGAAACGAAACAAGTAATATGAATTTAACACATCTAATGTGACTTACGTATACTGTATAAAAAACTTACTCAGTATGAAGAGCATCTGCTAACAGGTCAATATATCTTGATGTAAACGATTTAACTTTGTTGTTGAGATTTTCCTTAAAAATTATGATTATCATGACTTTAAAATATTATTTTTGCTAAATTAATAGTTCAAATTTCTCTGTAAATGGTTAACAGTTTAACGCAAGAAGTAAGTTAACACTAGTTGCAGACATACGAATTCAAATAAAGTTGAAAGTACAGGTCTCTAACAATTTTATCTCTACTGTACATAAAAAAAATCTGTTAATACATTTATGCCAAAAATGATTTCGAATGGATTACACAAATACAATATTTTTGTAAAATCGATCATTGCTGGTGATATTATACTCTATAGAAAACCAATACAACATCAAATTTTTTGGCACCATATTGTCAAGAAAACGTTCTCCATTATGTTGTATGTGGAAGATTACTTTGCATTTGTAATATGAATTTTTTTTTGTGTATTAATAAACTTTTTACTGTCGAAAAATAAGCAATCTGCTACTAATTGTATTGTGAAAAACATTAATGAAATAAACACTATTAATATTAAATTAATTATTATATTATAAATATTTTTCTGGTGTTTAACCAAACAACATCTGTTTCTGTTAAATTCAAACATACGAAATGTGAATGTGTTTTACATCAGATACTTCGTAAGAAGTTGAAATTGCATCTCTGTATATAATTATATTATCTTATCTAGTAGTAAGTACAGTAGTTAC